AAAAGCAAAAAAATTATCAAAAAAGAATATTATTTAGCAACCTTGAATAAAAAAATCAATTTGAAATGCATTCCAACAGGATATCATACCAGTAAACCACCATCTTCTAATGGATGTGATTATTGCAACCTTGGTTTTGAAAATAATTATGATCAAAGTGCATTAATGCTGATATGTGGTCATGCATTTCATAAAAATTGCTATGAAATGAAAAATAATCAATGTACCTATTGCTTGGAATTTTATAAAGCGGGTATAATTTCCAACGTATCTTCTTATATAAAAAGACTAGAAAAAGAAAGTTTGACTGATTCGTTGGATGATGATGATGAATTCGAAGAGCCTGATGTAACAGGAGACGAGGAGGTAGAGGAAAATATAACTGAAGAACAAAAAATAGTTTTAGACTTTAAAAACGCTTTTGATTTAATTAAAAATTGGTAAAATAAAATTTTAATTTGAATAAAATGTTTACATACACGTAGTGTTTATTTCAAACTTTAGTTCTCATCTAACTTTTGATCTAGACATGATCTTTTGATCTTATTTAATCTACTAGTAAAGGCAAACATAAAAAACGTTTCTGCGCAAAAAAATTAATATGTACCTTAATAATATTTTTTTTGTATACATATACGCCTTTTTTCTATTTTAAAACAATTGAAATCACATGTTTCACAACATAAAAAAGATCAACAATCGATTTTGTCACAAAGTGATAAAACGAGTGTCCATTATGCTGGTCTGATATAAAAAATTTTTCAAGTATTAATTAATATATGTTAAGTAATTTATTTTGCTCATTTGAATTTAAAAAAAAAAATTTAAATTTTGATTTACTTAGTAATATTATTATCTCTAATCCAATTTTTCAGGCACATGCATGCTTGAATTATTTCTTTCTTCAAACAGCAATGTTTTTTGTGATTAGGTCACCACCACCTGAAAAGATTCTTTCAACAGATACACTTGTACCTTATATTAAATAATATACATATATTTATTTATTTTTACAAATTAAATAAAAGATATTAAAAAAAGATATCTTACCTGGAATTGCAAGATAGTCATGTGCCATCTTGGAAAGATTTGGAAAGGTGGCTTCATGAACCTATCATATTTAATGAAAATAATAATTAATGTTGAAAAATAAATATATTACAGTCGGCGCTCGATATAGTGAACCTACTGTATAGTGAATCGTACGATATAGTGAAGATGGAAAATTTCAGTAGGGTAAAAATGGGTGTTCTGGCACAGTGGTATTCATTTTGCATATCAAATCACCCCGCCATATACCAAAGAGCATATCATTTTTCATACATCTAGAATACATTATTTTACCCAAATTCATATCAAAAAGGATAACAATTTTTATCACTAATCATTTTACTATCAATACACCCCGCAAAACATCAAATAGCATATCATTTTTTTTGAATATCTAGACCACATTCTTTCACCCAAATTAATATCAAAAAGGATACCAATATTATTTGATATAGTAGAATTCAATCTAAAGCCGATTCTTCACTACTTTTCTGGCACAAAAAATGTGACCATACACCTCAAAGGGTAACAAAAAATGCGACCATATACCATAAAGGGTAACAAAATTTCATACCATATATACCAAAGGGTAACAAAAAATGTGTCCATAGGTAACAAAATTTCGTATTATATATCAAAGGGTAACAAAATTTGGGCCAGGTTTTTTATTGCAGAGCAATGGCTCGAAGTGCCTTCACTTATCAAGGTTCTATTTTTGAAACCTTAGCACGTAATCTATTATAGTATTGGATAACATAGTACCCTTATGATATATCGAAATAATTAATTAAACAAAAGATTTTTATAAGTATTATATTATAATTCTGTAGATATATACTATATACAAAATGGTTCATACATGTAATAGATGTAACAAAGAATTCAAAAAATTATGGATGCTTAATCGTCATCTTCAGAATAGAAAATTTCCATGTAGACCTAATGTTATAGCTCCACCACTTACTCCTATTCAAGTACCTGATCCTATACCTGAAACAAACCCTATTCAAATACCCGATTCAGTTCAAGTTCAACCTACCAAAATATCTAATACTTCTGATACACTATTCTCAGATCAAAAAGTTGAATGGGAATATCAAAATGTGAAAAGAAAATTAGGTAAATTCGAGAATTTGCAACAGGAATGCTGTATTCCAAAGGAGTTTACTAGACAACGATTTTATTCAGAAATAGAAAGAGAAGGTCTTGGGGAATTGAAAGGACAATTATCTTCCAGATGGGTTTCAGTTATTTATGAAGCCATTCAAGGTTTACAACAATATTTAAGGGGGAAGAAAGTGAAAGTTAGTAGGAAAGATGTTGTTGATTATATTCGAAAAAGTTTACCAATTCCACAAATCGATTCAGAAGCTGGCCCAGGTCCATCAACTCAAGCACATAGAGAGAAGATATCACAAAGCAAAGATTCTTTAGATTCTAATAATGAATCAAATATTACCCAAGAAGAGATCGATTTACTTATTGCATTGGGTTTAATAGAAGAACCAGAGATTGAAGAATCCTGGCCTGAATTGGGAGGTACTCTTTTAGCAGATAAGGCAAAGAGCAAAAAATTTAAATCTCGCTATAGAGATTCGGGATTTGATAGTATTGCTGTTAAAGCACCATCAGGAGATATAATCTTTGAAGAGGCTGAAGTTGGAGATCCAGATAGACAACACTCAAGTTTATCTTCACTATCCAAATGGCAGGCAATTGTTCCGTCATATGAAAATCCTGCATATGCTTTCAATACACCAATAGATGATCCCGAAAAATATGCAGAAGCTCCATATATGCCCCAGCTTATAGCTTCAGCTCGAGAACAAATTACAAGTGTACTTAAAGCTGAACTTCGAAGAAAAGATCAAATAAAATCAGCAATAGTGGTATACTGCAATTATATGAAAATGGAAAAGAAAGGTGAAGGTAAGATAGCAGTTCCAGTTTATGAGCAAAAATATCACAATGGAAAGATGCGAGCCATTCTTTCAGAAAATGATATAGATGAGCATATTACTCTTTCAGCTGGAGAAATTGATGCAAAAATCGAAAGATTTCTAAATAATGGATCAGGGTGGACATTAATCCGAATAGAAATGATATATATTGAGGTATATGCATTTAGAAGAGCTGTTGGAGGATCATTCAAACCAACACCCAAAAATCTTGCCAATACTAAATGTACTATCAATCCAGATAACTCTAAAACAGGAGATGATATGTGTTTAAAATATGCATTTGGTCCATACTTTGCAACTCTTGATGGTATAACAAAAAATCTACAACGTCTTTCTGTTATTAAACCATATCTAAATATAGTTAATTTGGATGGTATTCCAATGCCAACACCTATATGCTCCAGAACATTTGAAAAAATCGAAAAACAAAATCCTACAATATCAATAAATGTATGGAAATGGAATGAAGAAAATTGCGAACCAAAACCAGTAATAGCAAGCAAAAATCGATATCTTTCAAATTCATGCAAGATTGAGGGATGTAATCATCCTAGGCCATATGAATGCCACGAAAAAAGACCACACATTATTAATCTTATGGCTCTTTCTAAAGTAAAAAAAATCGTTGATAATAAAGAAAATTTAATATCAAATATAGATAGGGAAGGTAAGTATGGTTCAAAAACGCATTTCTTATGGATAAAAAATCCCGATAAATTAGCATTCAAAGACTCCAAGCATACTACAAAAAAATTTATTTGTGATGGATGTTTCATAAGCTTTACAACAGAAACAGGATGTAATAATCATAAAGACAGTTGTCCAGGATTAGGAGAAGCCCCACAAGTAGTTACAATGCCAAAAAAAGGCGGAAAAAATTTTGAAAAATTTAAGAACTTTTCTAGGATGATGTATGCACCTTGCGTAATTATTGCAGATTTTGAATGTAGTCATATTTTAAAGGATGAAAACTATGGTGGAAAAATGCATAAAATAGCAGAACAAACTGCTAATAGTTTTGCTTATTCAGTTCATTGGATAGATACTGGAGAAACTTGGGGGCCATTTATTTATCGAGGTCCTAATGCTTCAGAAGAATTTGTAAGAAAAATGGACTATGAGCTTAAACAAATAAACAAGGTACTTGAAATCAAAGTAGATAAAATCGTAAATAATGAGTATCAA